GAACAAACAGAAACCTAACCGAATTTAAATTATCAGAAAGTTTCTTACATGCTTTAATTTATTTATTTTGCATTTTATCAAAGTTTCCCTAATCCAAAACAGAAAATGTAAACTAAAACTTGGCTATTTGAAAGAAACAAAAACAAAGATACTGTAACATTATATTTCCCACTTTTTGTTTTTGGACCTGATGCTCATATTTCAAAAATTAAGTTGTATCAATCATAATTCCTAGACCGAACTCATACTTAAATATCCATTTTTGAATTCCTCGTGTTAATTATTTTTCATCACAATAACTCACGGGAATGATAGAACAAATCCAAGTACTTAACCTTTAACAATGGAAAATTTCTAGATCAATAATAGATTCAAATCAACAATTTCACGATTAATTTATAGCAAAACAGAATATGCATATGGAGATAAGAATTAAGAGTATGCTAAGAAAGTTGAAGAAAACTGAAAATTCAAAACTTTATTGTCTTGAAAATTTCAAGTGCAAGCTTCTGCCTTTCTTTGCTCTCTGTCTCACACCCTCCTTTCTCTCAATTGTTCATAATTTCTGTACGTTATCTTTTATGATTTTTCATTCAATAGTATCTCTCTATGACAATGTGAAAAGTTTGTGTTGGCATTTTTTGAGAAGACTGGTGACATGGAAAACTGGATTTTCATCTAAAGAAGTTAAAAGAGTGATTCCCCTTTGGTTAGAATCCGCAATGGATTCTATTTCAGACCTATTCAAATTGCAGATTATTGCTGATAACTCACAAGTGTAATGTAGCCATGGTTCATATATGTTGTTGAAGCTGTTTTAAGTATGTTATCATTGTTCCCTAGTAATTGTACAATGAAATTAAGAATATTAAGTTTCCTTACTACCTAGTTGTCTCTTATCATTGGACAGAATGGGATTACAAGGAAGAGGGGAAGGAGACGACGCAGCAGTGGGAGGATGATTGGAATGATGACGATGTCAATGACGACTTCTCTCTGCAGCTGAGGAGAGAATTGGAGACCAATGCTGAGAGGAGCTAATTTGTAATGTGTTATTATTCTGTCAAAACATTATATATAGCTATCTTTCTATAAGACTAATGTTACTCTTGATGGTTAACATTCTATTTGTTCTTAGAAAACCTGAAAGATTTTCTGTATTACTACTTTT